GGGCCCGCGGCCCAGAGCGTGCGCCCAGCCCTGAGCGAGGTGAGCGGGGAGAGCCCTGGGGGCTGGGGGCGCCCGGAGAGGAGGCCGCCGGCCGGGGTGGGGCTCAGGGTGGTCCGAGCAGCTTCGGGCGGGATCCCGGGGGTTGGGGCGCCCGAGAGCGGTGTCGGGGGGCGGTGCGGGGACCTCCGGGCCTGGCAGATCCCGCAGGACGGGGTCCGAGCGTCCGGGATCGGGGTAACGGAGCTCTTAGTGTCGGGGTTGCAGCGCGCTGCACCGCGAGGGTCGAGCCCCGGCCCGAGGGAGAGCGGACCGGGTGCGGGTGGAGGCCTAGGCCCGGGGGAGCGGGCTATAAGTCTGGAAAGGGGTCCCGAGGAAGGGAGAGTTGCGCTCTCCCAAGAGACTGAAGGGAGATGGAGTTCGGACTTGGGCTGAGGGGACCAGGGTCTTAGGGGTGTGGGGGGCTCCCCCTGCATGGGGAGGCTGGGAGGAAGGTGGGAAGGAGCCTCCAGGCCTGGGGGTAGGGTCCCAAAGGAGCGAGGGCTGCAGGCCGGGAAGCTGGCGGCCAGGTAGAGGAACTGGGGCGGAGGGAGGGGCCAGGGGAGGGGCAGGTGCGAAGCCCCGGTCCCAGCTGGGAGCCCGCGAGCACCGGACGGGGACGCCGAGGTCGGCTGCCGGGGCTAAGACCTCGGATGAAAGGGTTTGGGGTGCTTGTTTCGAGCTGAGGGTGGAAGCCAGCAGGCAGCTGGCGGTCAAGTCCCGGAGCCACAGGGCGGGGGATGGGAGGAGGAGCCGGCCCCAGCTTTCCCAGACTCGGGTCCCCAAGCCGTCCAGGAGGCCAGGGGTGCAGCTGGGGGCCTCTGGACGCTGGGAATGCGGGGTGAGGGGTGACCTCAGACTCCAGGGTCCTTACTGGAGCCGGGCAGAGTTTTAAGGCCCTCGGGATTCTGGTGAAAGGTGAAGTGGTCTCGTGTCCTGATTGTTGGGGTCGCAGACTTTGCAAGTAGCAAGGTGATGGGTGTCGCTGGTATTCAAGGACCTGGAGGTCTGGCTGATGTAGGCTGACCGTGCAGGGGTGAGCCCCACATCGTGGGATCGTGTGGCACTGGGGACTTCCCCGCGAGGAAGTGAGGCCGTGAGGGCTGCAAGTGAACGAGTGAGAGCCCTTCAGTTCGAGGTTGAGAAGCCCCCAGGCTGAGTTGGGGTCCTGGGAGAACCCCTGATTGGATTTGGGAGCCGCAGCTATGACTTGGGGATTTCTCGTTTGGAAGTCTCATGTTGGGGTCCAGGTCCCATGTTGGTTGTTGAACAAGGTGTGTGGTTGGAAGTCCCCGCATGGGAAACTGGGGTCTGGAATCTCAGGTATGGAGTTGGGGGTCGTGTGATGGGGGTGCTCTCCTCAGAGATCACCAATTCCTAGCTCCCGGGATGGTGGCCCCTTGTCTTGCCGGAGGGTTCTGGTCAGGGTGCTGGGTCCCACAGTCCCAGCTCACCGTTTTGACGTTCTGGGGTCTCTAGTCAACAGCGCGGCTCCAGGTTTCTGGGTTCCAGTGTACTGGGATCTGACAACCTGTGCACAAATTCCTGAGTCCCCATTTCACGGCCTGCCTTTGGGTGGGACAGCGGAATGAGAGTTCCAGAATCTAGGTTCTGCATCGTGGCTGTGCCATCCAGTTGGAGCACCAGAGGGAGGTCAGGGCACCGGTCAGAGGCGGAAGTTCTTAGGGCCAGAATTGCCTGTCAGGGTCAAGATAAAAGTCCCAGGGCTGAGGCTTAGGTGGGAGCCTCTGTTCAAAGTCTTGCATAGGTCTGAGGTCAGGGTTCTGAGGCCAGGGCGGAGGGCTAGGGATCCTTGCCTAGCGACACGTTTGGGGGCTTTCTGGGTGCCGTTGATTTTCTAGATGCAGCCCATGTGTCAGGTCCAGGCACGGAGTTAGGTCAGGTTGTAGAGCACACAAAGTCCAAGCGCAATACCCCGGGTCCAGGGTTGCAGATCCTGGCTCAAAGTGGAGGGGCCAGGCCCTCCTTGGAGCTTGTGGTCATGTCTGGGGTCTTGGCTCAGGTTAGGGCTGGAGTTCTGGGTCCTGCAGTTAAGCTGCTGGCTATCGTAAGAGTGTCAGAGTCACCAGCTCAGCCTCAGCGGGCGGGACTCCGGTGGGGTCTGATATGCAGGTTGTGCTCTCAGGCCGGGGCAGGAGAGCGTGTCATTGGAGTTCCACGATATCTGGCAACCTCTCCCCGGGGTTGGGGCCTGGCCCGAGCTAGACAGGGCCCCGTTGGCAATTCTGTGGGGCCCATCCCTGAGGTTCGGAGTGGGCACCTGTATCTCCAGCCAGTGCTGGGGTCATGGCTCAGGACCCAGAAGTGGGACTGGAGAAGGTTCTGGCTTGGAGTTGTTCCGTCCAGCTAGGGTTCAGCGTCCCAACCTGAGATGAGGGGCTTGGGCGGTCCCCTCGGAGATCCCCACCACCGTTTCCCACCCTGCAGGCCCCGCAGGGCGCCCCCCGCCGCTGACAATGAGTCACTGCAGCAGCCGCGCCCTGACACTGCTGAGCAGCGTGTTCGGGGCCTGCGGCCTGCTGCTCGTGGGCATCGCGGTCAGCACGGACTACTGGCTGTACATGGAAGAAGGGACGGTGCTGCCGCAGAACCAGACCACCGAGGTCAAGATGGCGCTGCACGCCGGCCTCTGGCGGGTCTGCTTCTTTGCAGGTGCATGGCGCACGCCTTCCACTGCCCCGGTCCCGCCTTGCCCCCGAGCGCTCAGGCCTCAACCCTAGCCCCTTTCCTTGGGTCCCAGGAATCCAGAAAATGGTCCTGGTCCTCTCCTGGATGTGCAGATTTTTCAGAGCCCCCACGCCTCGCCCTTTATTCTCCGGATCGAGGAGCCCTGGCCCCGTTCCCTCCAGGCCTCTTCCTCTTGAAAGACCCCGCGGTGCTGACCCACAGCCCCTTCCTCGCTTGGGACCAGGGGTCCAGCCCTGCCCTCCCCCTGCCCTCCCCCAGAGCAGCTCCCAAGAAGTCGCAAGCACCCCCTAAGACCGAGCACACCGCGACCCTTGGGTGCATTCACCCCCCACCCTGGGGACTCCCTCTGACCCCCTATGCCCCGCCGCCCCTGTGGAGCTCAGCCTCCATCCTCTCCCCCACCCCTGCCTCTGTCTCTCCCTCCCCACCAGGTCGGGAGAAGGGGCGCTGCGTGGCCTCGGAATACTTCCTCGAACCAGAGATCAACTTGGTGACGGAGAACACGGAGAATATTTTGAGTGAGGGAAGCGGGCGTTGGAGCCCGGGCAAAATGGGGTCCTGGGAGAAAGGCCAGGACGAGGAAGGGGGTGGGGGTGTGCGGAGGGTGGGGCTCCAAGGCGGCACGGTGGGGGCGTGGCCTGGGCGAGGGGCGGCGCCTACAGGACGGACGCCCAGGAAGGGGCGGGGCCGCGGGAGACCCTCACCGCGCCCCCTGTCGCCCTCCAGAGACCGTGCGCACCGCCACGCCCTTCCCCATGGTCAGCCTGTTCCTCGTGTTCACCGCCTTCGTCATCAGCAACATCGGCCACATCCGCCCGCAGAGGACCATCCTGGCCTTCGTGTCCGGCATCTTCTTCATTCTCTCGGGTGAGCCCAGGGGAGGGGCCGAGGGCTGGGCGCTGCGGCCCTGGCAGGGCTGCCCCCTGCGGTCTCCGGCCTCGCTGTGCCCCTTCGTGGGCAGCAGAGCACGCCCTCCGGGCCCGCAGCAGGCCGAGGCTGGGAGGCAGGCGCATGCGCCTCGCCCCCGGAGCCTGTATTTTTAACCATCACTGATATTTTAGTAATTAACAGTTTACAAGGCGCCGTATTTTCTGAGCAACACTCTGTTTTCTTTTCTTTTTCAAACAAAAAAGTCAGAGTTTTGCAGTGAGCGCTCGTGTCCCCGCTGCCTGGTCCGTTGTGAACTTTCTACTGGATTCGCAGTACCCTGTGTCCGGCCCTTTGCCTCTAATCACTCATCAACTCTCTCTTACTTGTTTTTCTTTCCGATGCACGTCAGAGTGCGTTTTAGGCGTCACCGCAAACGCTTTGCCATGCATGGCATTCGCGCGGGCTCAGCATTTCTTCGTAGTTTTTTCTTTATCGTGAGGTGCAGGGCTCTTGCGTGTGTGATCGGTCTCGTCTCAGAACGTCTCTACCTAGGCGCTATTCTTAGCTCTCACCTGATGAAGGGGAGGTTTGAGATCCAGCAGGGAGTTGCCCAAGATACCAGTGTGAGCTTTTGCCAGATGACTGGGGAGTCCGGAGCTCCGGAGAAGCGCTCTCTGCGCCTTCCAGCTCGCAGCTCGGGCCAGCCTCATTCTGTCTGGCACAGGGCCGTGGAGGGCAACACACCCGAACCCACCAACCCAGCCCGGCCAGCTCATTCTGACTCAGTTCTCCAGTTTGGTTCAAATGTGGACACCATGATTTAATTAAACTCAAATCAGGGGGCTGGGCGTTTAGCTCAGCGGCACAGCGCCTGCCTGGCAAGTGCAAGGTCATGAGTTCGATTCTCGGTACTGGAAAAAACCTCAAATCAGGCCCTTGCAATTGAGCTGATAGTTCATAAACACACCCCGCCGTACATCTCACCTCCACCGCGTGCCCCGTAGCCTGCACCCCGGTCCCACTTCCCAGCAGGCTGCGTAAAGAGTCGCGCACTGATCTCCAGTGTCCCCTCCCCCGGTCTCCTCCTGCTCTGCACCCAGCTCTCCCGAGACCAAACCTCCCCCAGCCTGCCTTCAACCCAGCCTGGTGAGACCTTTTCCAGCGAAAGCAGGGTGCAACCTCGGCGCAGGCTTGAATCACGGTGTGTGGAGCCAGACACTGAGCTAAAATAAGACACGTAGGATATGATCCGGGAGTGTCAGAGCAAAAAGGTCTCATCATTTTTCAGATGGAAAATAGTGGCCTAGAGAGAGAGAGAAAGTGGGGCAGGAGTAGGTAGCATGGGGAGTTTTATTCAACCTACCCTAGAGATTAGAAGGAATGCCCCATTGTCTGCAGACACGGAAATGGAAGTGGGCTGGGAGCGGGGACAGCTAGTTAATGGCAGAGCAGGAACCCAAAACACGGGTGTTCTGATTCCAAGTGTGTGCTCACACGCTGCCCCGGGAGCCAGCTAGCCAGCGTCAGGCTGGAGGTCAGACTTCTGACCCAGCACTGGGGGTGAAACTGAGTGTTACTGTTTGATTTCTCCCTGGGTTTACTTCATAGTATATCTGCTCAAACCCAAGGGATCACCCACGTGTCCTCAACTTGCCAGGCACTGTAGCTAGAAAGACCGGCATAAAAGTCTTCCCTAGGGGCTGGGGATTTAGCTCAGCTGCAAAAGCACCTGCCTGGCAAGCGCAAGGTCGTGAGTTCGGTTCCCGGTACCGGAGAAAACCCCCCCCCCAAAAAAAAAAGTCTTCCCTGGTGGAATTGTTGCTCACAATACTTGTGTTGTGGACCCTGAAGTTGGAATGCAAGGTAATTTCTGTGTGCCGCGAGATACCCTTGATTGACCCCCGCCAGTTGTAAAGAATGCAAAATCCACACTTAGGTTACAAACCGTACAAAACTACGTGGCGGGCCAGATGGTAGCTAACTGGCCAACACTGAGCTTCTTCATGGATATAAAGTACCTAGGCTGTGCGTGTGCGGTATGAATAAATGATTCAGTAAGCGGTAGTGGTAACTACAACTTTATGGGGTGGCAGGGGCCAGGCAGTTCTGAGTTCTAGAAATTAAGTTTTTTATTCTTGACCCTGTCATGTGGGCACCAGTTTTTGTTTTGGTTTTTGTTTTTGTGTTTCGGGAGGTAGCATTCATGTCTCCGTCTTGACATGGAAGCAGCGGAAGCTCCTGGAGGTTAAATTTCCTGGCAGTGGAAGCAGTATTCCAACCCAGGGTGCCTCACCAGGGCACTGTCTTGCCTTGCTAACGTTAGAAATCGTAGACATGAAGGAAGTTAAAAGAAAAGCACAAGGGGGAACATCACACCGGCACCTTAGATCTCAGAGCACAGTGATCAGGCTCAGTCACCCCAACTTCCCCTGAGGGTGCCAGGCCTTGGAGAAGGAGATGAGGGTGGCCTGAGATTGGCAAACACAAGCCAGGTCCTTGCGATGGAATTGGCATGGAGCTGCCGTGTAGCTCCGGGCAGCGTGAGAGTCACGCTGGGTGTAAACCTCGCCCCGCAGCCTGCTCTGGGGACGGGCTTGGGAGAGAGACCGGAAGCAGACGGCAGAGGAGGGGGCTCTGCAGGGTGCGGGCAGTGCCAGGCTGGAGCTGTGGGCGTAGAGCTGGGCAGCTGTGAGAGAGCTGGGTATTGATAAGCGGTCAATAGAGCCCATGACTGGTTGCTTGTGCTTGGGCAGCAGGGACAAAGCCAGAGGGCATTGATTTTCCTTTTCCAGGCCGTGAGAGCGATGCCTGCGCATGCCCCGTCTGTACCTCACCCCCGAACGTGACGCGCGTCTCGGTCACCCACCCTGGTGCCCGGCCCTGTGCTTGGCGCCGGCGGCTGAGTCCTAAGCAAAGCCAGGTGCAGCCTGTCTCCGTGTAGCCCCCTTTGGCGAGTCCCCGCTGCGCTCGGGATGCGTCCCGCGTCCTCGCCCAGCCCACAAGGTCCTCAGGACTTGGCTGCCGCTCAGCTCGCTGACCTCATCGCCTGACCCACTGGCACTCCGCATGGGGAATGCGGATGCGGCCCTGCCTTGGGATGGGCATGCTTGCTTCTCCCCGCCGGGGCTCTTCCCCAGCTCCTCCCAGGGCTCTGGCCGGCTCCTCCTCCGAGCTGCCTTTTCTGACAATTCCTAGTGCTGACCTGCGCTCCCCTCCCTAGCGGGTGCGATGGTACATAGTCCGTACCGCTGTTCTTATGACCTGTTTCCAGTCTCCTTGTACCAGAGGTGAACTCTGAAAGGGCAGGGATCTTTTCGAACGTGTGCTGCTCTCTGTCCGCAGGGCGTGGCGGACCTGCCTGGTGTGAGGCGTTGCGTGTAGAGTGGCTCTGGGTGAGGGTCGGGTGTTAACCCGACACAGCAGGGTGGCATGGGGCATGATCAGGGAGTGCTCTCCGGAGGAGGTGTGTGGAAGCTGATGCTGAAAGCGGGGAGGGTCCCAAGTACAAAAGGGAAAGTGCTAAGTATGGAAGGAATTCACAGCGCTGTAAGGGAGGGCCGGGACGGCGCGGCTGTCCATGGTCCTGAAACCGTATTGTGCGCAGGCCCAGTGGGTCGGGTCTGTTTGGCGTGGAACGTAGGTGATTTTTGCCTACTGCTAGCTAAGGAAAGTGGAGCGGATGCAATTGAGGAGGTGGAGACAGAGAGTAGAAGAGTTGGGTTGCAGAGGGAGAGGAACGAAAAGATGAAAGGAAGGTTAGTTTTGCAAAATCAGACACTTAAAGTGGCCAGAGAGGAAAAACAAGGGTAAAAACGAGTTACTACATTCTAGAAGGCTGAGGCAGGAGGATCCCAAGTTGAAACCCAGCCTGGGCAGCTTAGTGAGACCCTACCTCAAAATAGTAATAATAAAGGATTAGGGGGTGTAGCTCAGTGTGAAGTCCCTGGGTTCAGTATTTCCCCCAAAAAAGTTTATTCCTCGTTGTTGGAAATGTTTGTTCCTTCCTTCTGCTCCTGGCTCCCTCTTGGAGAATTTATTGTTTAGAACTGCGATGTGGAGTGTGGGTCCCCTGTCCCCTGTCTAGGTTGAAAGGGGACCTGAGGGTGAGGGCCTGGTGTCAGGCTGGAGCAGGGGTGCCTTCTCCCGTGGGAAGTAGGGAGCTATGGAAGAATATGGAGCACAAAGGAATAGCCTCTTCTGGGCTTGGGGAGGAACCACATCTGATGTGAGAAGATGAGGATCTGGAGCAGTGATACACATGTAGAGAATGAGGCCTGAACTGGGGTGGAGGACTTCAGGATGCAAAGAGTATTTTTTTGTTTTTGTTGTTTTTCTGAGACAGGGTCTCTCTGTCCTTGAAGCCAGTATAGTCCAGGCTGGCCTCAAACTTGCTTCAACCCCCCTCCCTCAGCCTCCAGAGTGCTGGGATCACAGGTGTGCCACACCATACCTGGCTTGCAAAAAGTGGTTTGTTTGTTTGTACCGGGAATCAAACTCAGGACCTTGCATTTGCCAGGCAGGTGCTTATGCCGCTGAGCTAAATCGGCAGCTCCTAAACTGGTTTTAACTTAGGAAGGATTCAGGAAGTGAAGTGGACCCACTAGTCAGGAAGCTGAGGCAGGAGGGTTGTGAGCAGAGACCAGCTTGGGCAACAAGGCAAGGCCCTCTCTCAGAAAAAGAAAAAAAGCAAAGGAAGCAGAGTGGACATGATGAGGGGACACCCGGATGGATGGCAGAGAGCTGAGGTGACCCTAGCCTGACCTAGGCACCTGGGTGAGTGCGATCTCTGGGCTTCCTTCTGTGACCCTGGTCACCTGGCACGACCTGTCCCAGGTCCCTGTCCCCTGTGAGACACTCCATGGACTCCCCTGTACCAAAATTAGGGAATATGCCAGGCACAGTGGTGCTGTCATCCTAGCGCTCAGGAGCTGAGGCCAGAGGATCACGAGTTCAAGTCCAGTCTGGGCAATTTAGCAATTTTTTTTTTTTTTTTTTGC